CCAACCAATAAAGCAGACGTTTACGTGTTTTTCCAAAAATATTTGGCTATTCCTTTCCTTCTTGTAGCTTACTTTGGTTATAAGATTTTCACTGGTTATTGGAGAGTTTGGCTTCCTGTTTCTGAAATTGATATCGATTCAGATAGAGTAATCTACGATCCAGAAATCTTGGAATTAGAAAAATTAGAAGAAAAAGATAGATATAAAAAGGCTCCATTTTGGCAAAAAGTATGGATTACTTGTTTCCAATAAGTAAGACTCATTTAAGTAAGTTTACTCTTTATGACTTTAGGTAGTTTTATGAATAAGTTCACGTATTTCAATGTAATGTAACGTTTCTTTCTTGGTGCCGATCCTTACAAGTGACACGGGTTGACTAGTACACTATTACATCCACTAGCAGAATGCAATATACTAGTCAAGTACAATGTACCAGTAAAGTACATTGGCAGCCAATTTTTGTGGGGGAAAAAGGCTTTAAAATAGAAGTAAGACAATCAAAATCAACTATTCCTCCACCTCCCCACAACCCTACTTAGGAAACTCTCCCGGCTTAGTTCATCCTTGACTCGGGTGATTACAGATTTCCTCGAGGCCAATTGGCTCGAAGGGAAGGTCCATGCCTGGTAAAATAGGAGTAGAGCTCAATTGACCAAGCCATAGTCAACGACTGAAATGAACTGAAACAGTACATCAGCACACAAGGGAAAAATAAAATCACGGAATAATTCAATTTTTCAGACAAAAGAAAAAGAGACCCAAAGGGATTATAGTTTTACCCCAGTTTTTTTTTTTTGTCTTCATCCGCAAATAGGTTGTATATAAATAGGGACTTGTCCAGCTTGTGTACTTGCTCGATTCATTAATTCCCTTCCACGCTTCATTTCATTACAATTGACTTCGAAAATGTCTGATATTGACGTTGAAAAAACTCTTTCTCAATTAAAACTCCTGGAAAAAATTGGATTACTTGCTGGTATTGATTTCTGGCATACTTTCCCCGTTGAAAGATTGGATGTTCCCAGTCTTAGGTTCAGTGATGGTCCCAATGGTGTTAGAGGTACCAAGTTCTTCAATGCTGTTCCGTCTGCTTGTTTTGCCAATGGAACTGCTTTAGCAGCTACTTTTAACAAAGAATTATTATTCAAAGCTGGTTCTTTGATGGCAGAAGAAGCTAAACATAAATCTGTTCATGTTATTTTGGGTCCTACCACTAATATGGCCAGAGGTCCAAATGGTGGGAGAGGGTTTGAATCTTTTAGTGACGATCCATATTTAGCCGGGATTTGCTCAGCTTCCATCATTAATGGTATCCAAGATGATGATATTGCTGCTACCATCAAACATTTTGTTGGAAATGATTTGGAGGATCAACGTAACTCTTCTGATTCAATCATTACTGATCGGGCCTTGAGAGAAATCTATTTGGAACCTTTCCGTTTGGCAGTTAAATATTCCAATCCAAAAGCTTTTATGACTGGTTATAATAAAGTTAATGGTGAACATGTTTCTCAATCTGAAAAAATTATTCAAAAAATCTTACGTGAAGAATGGAATTGGGATGGTGCTGTTATGTCTGATTGGTTTGGTACTTATACCACTGAAACTGCAATTAAGAATGGGTTGGATATTGAAATGCCTGGTCCAACTAAATTTAGAGATCAAGACCTTGTTTCTCACATGATTAATACTAAAGAACTTCATATTAATCACATTAATGACCGTGTTAGAAATGTATTAAAATTAGTTAAAGCTACTGCTAAGTCGGGAGTTAAAGAAAATGGACCTGAAGATGATAAAAATAATACTCCTAAAACTAGTGAATTTTTAAGACAACTTTCGGGTGAATCAATTGTTTTATTGAAGAATAATAATAATGTTTTACCTTTGAATCCAAAAGAATCAATTGCAGTTATTGGTCCTAATGCTAAAAGTCATGCCTACTGTGGTGGGGGTTCTGCTTCCATCACTCCTTATTATAATGTTTCTCCTTATGATGGGATTTCCTCTAAATTGTCTTCTCCTCCTCCTTATACTGTTGGTGCTTATGCTCATAAAGCTTTACCAGGTTTAGGTCCTTTTATTAATAACTCCGTCACTGGTAAAAAAGGTTTTAATGTCAAATTTTTCTATGATAAAGAAAAGAAACGTCAATTTGATGAAGTTAACGTGACTCAATCTTGTTTCTTCTTGGGTGATTATAAACATCCCGATCTCAAGACCAATTTATTTTACTTAGAAATTACTGGTGATTTAGAGATTGAAGAAGATGGTGAATATGAATTTGGTCTTGCCGTTGTTGGTACTGGGGTTATCAATGTGGACGGAAATTTAGCCGTTGCCAATATTAAAGATCAAAAGAAGGGTGAGTTTTTCTTTAATAATGGTACTGTGGAAGAAAAAAATAAAGTTAAATTATCTAAAGGTACTCATAAGGTTGAAGTCAATTTTGGTTCTGCCCCAACTTATACTCTCCTTAATGATGATGTTGTTGATTTCGGTGGTGGTGGTGCACTTAACATTGGTTTTGCAAAAGTTATTGATGGTAAAGAAGAGATTGATAATGCAGTTAAACTTGCAAAATCAGTTGATAAAGTTGTTTTATCAATTGGTCTTAATCAAGAATGGGAATCTGAAGGTTATGATCGAAAAGATTTGGATTTACCCTTATTAACTAATGATTTGGTGGCTGCAGTGTTAGAAGCCAACCCAAACACTGTTGTTGTTAACCAATCTGGTACTCCTGTTGAGTTCCCATGGTTATCTAAAGCAAACGCTTTGGTTCAAGCGTGGTTTGGAGGAAATGAAGCTGGTAATGCAATTGCTGATGTTTTATTTGGTGATATTAATCCTAGTGGTAAATTATCGTTATCTTGGCCATTAAAATTCACTGATAATCCTACTTACTTAAACTTTAAAACTGAAAGAGGTAGAGTTTTATACGGTGAAGACATTTTCATAGGTTATAGGTATTATGAAAAATTGCAGAGAAAAGTTGCTTTCCCATTTGGTTATGGTTTATCTTATACCAAATTTGAATATTCTAAACTTAAGGTAAGCGTTAATGAGTCCAAAGATCTCTTAAGTGTCTCTGTTGATGTTAAAAATATTGGTGATATCACCGGTAGTGAAGTGGTCCAAGTCTATATTGGTGCTCAAGAACCATCAATTATTCGTCCTGTAAAAGAGTTGAAAGGTTTTGAAAAAGTTGAATTAAAGAGTAATAAACTGACTACTGTTAAGTTCGATTTATCTTTGAAAGACTCTACATCTTTCTGGGATGAATATCAAGAACAATGGAGCTCCGAAGCTGGTAAATATGATGTTTTCGTTGCTAAAAGCAGTGATGATATTGAATTGATTGAAAGATTCGATATTAAGGAATCCAAGTTATGGGTTGGTCTTTAAATATACTTCTTTAGCTAAATAAATGATGAATATTAGTAGTTTATTCATAGAAATGTATTGATAGTATAGATATTTGCGGTCATTTCGTTCCACCGAGCTCACCGAGTTCAGCCGAAATATCACGTGTGATTTCGGTGTTAATTTTTTTTTTTTTTTTTTTTTTTTGCCCCTTTTATCGTACAATAAGCCAGGCAATCAGCTTAATGTTTCACTCACATTCAAACCCCAATCATTGAATGGATCTGATTGTGTTATACTGAGTGTTGCCTAAATGATGTTGATGAGCTCAGCTTAGAGATTTTAAAATTTCGAGATTTACGGCTTTCACAAAAAAAAAGAACTGCAAAAAAATACCTTAAATACTTCCAATTCCAAACATTTAAGTCGACTTGCAATGGCTACTCGTCAGAAAAGAACAGCTTCTGTTGAAGAAGATAATGACGTCACGTCTCTGTACAAAAATGCTAAGAATGGAGATTCCAATGGGAAGACGAAGCCGGTGAAGAGAAGAAATCGGGTTACTCTTGTTTGTAATGTTTGCAAATTTCGTAAGGTTCGTTGTGATCGTAAACAACCCCATTGCACATCTTGTGTTAAATACAATGCTAGTCACTTATGCGAATATAATGGTCAAGTTTGGAGTGAAAAGGAAGCTTTGGAAAAACTTTCTACGATAAAGCCTTCGGTCCTTCCGAATCAAAATTTGGCTCCTGAAGAATCTTCTGAACCTAAAGAAATATCTGAAGTGGACAGCTTACGGAAACGAGTGAAAGAATTGGAATCCTATATACTTTTCCAAAATCAATTTGAAGCTAAAAGTACGATTCCATTTCCAACAAAATTTACCGATTTAATATCTGGTTTCCAATCACTTGATTCTATTCATGGAATAAACCCCATCCAAGACAACAATGATTTGATAGATTTATACAATTACAACTCCATAGCTTCTGATCTTAATGCGATGGAATGTGTCAATCATGGTCCTTTTAGCAGGTATGCTATCAGACAAAAGGATTTGAATTCTAAGAATATTTGGAACTTTATGTATGAAGGGATACGGGGTAAAAATAAAGTATATACCAAAGATGGAGTCACTCAGTTGGAAGGGAAGAGCAATCCTTACTCTTTAATTCAGAGAATAAAGGAATACTCTGTCAATAAGTTCGACCCCCAGAATTATAGTCGCAAGTCATCTAGTCTCCCACTTGGTCTAACATATAATGATCCCACCAAAAACATAGCAGACAGTCGAGAAGAGAGAATTAAGTCTATATTACCTCTGCAGAATATAATTGATTTCCACATCGATAATTTCTTCGACTTTTTATATCCGTTTTTTCCATATATATCTGAACCCGACTTTAGGAAGCAAATATCCAGAATATTGAGAACAAAATCGACTCTTAACATCGAAAGTAAAAATGATTATGCTATATTAGGACTACTATGTATTGTTATGCGCTTGAGTTACTTGTCTATGATTACAAATAATATGGAGATTAATGAAAATAATGTTGCCGAGAGCAGTACTAGTGAAATCAAAAAATTATTACTACATCCAATAGGAATTGAGTTCATCGATACTGCAAGAGATTGTTTAAATGAATTTCAATTGTTCCATAGAACTAACTTATTTGTCCTACAGCTTGCCATTTTCATTAAAATTTATATGACATGTGCACCTGAAGAACCAGAAGGAATAATAAGAAATCAATTTCAAATATACAATGGTGTCTTGGTAGAAATGGGATACTCAATGGGATTAAATAGAGACTACTTTCATGACAATCCTTCCAAGATCAACCTTAGAAGAAAGATATGGATGTACTTACGGACCGTCGACACTACCCAGTCAATGTTGTATGGAAATCCATATATAACAAGTGATAGATTTACAGATGCAGAAGTTCCAAGCAGTTCTGGTGGAATGGAAGATTATGTTGTAAAAGCTATGGAACCATTATCAAAACTTTTAAATCACATTCAAGATATTCTAAGGTTGGTTTTGTATGTGAAGAAGGGAATTTCCGTTGTACAACTTGTTGAAAAATTGAATATTTTAGAAACCTATCTATTTACGGAATATGGTACCATCCAAACTTTTTTTGATGCATATATGGAAAAGTCCTTTAGCGACAATTTTTCAAAGACTTTACAGCTAAATGTCTTCATACCAGTTAAGTTCTTTCTTATGGCTCTTCATAATGAACTATTTTTATACTATGAAAATAAACAAAACTTGGGAATAGTGTTTTTTTATGTGAAAAAAATTCTAGCTGGGATAGTTGAAGAAGTACTACCTTATACTCTTGAATTTCTTGAACAGCCCAATTTCTATTTCAAATATGCTTCTCAGCTACTGTTAAATCCTTCCTTTCAACTTTTTCTTCATAGAGTAAATACGATGCTTTTTTCGCTTATTAATAGAACTGGTTTTTCAATCGAAGGATTGCATATAGAAGATCCTAAATATGAAAAGTACAAACTTTTGAAAAAGTATTTGGTTCGATGTCTGAAGCTAACAATTATTGGAATATTGAAACTCAGCCATCGTCAATGTTCAGCTTGGAGAACTGGGAACTCGCATACGTTTATCCTAGAGAATATATCCAGTGACGATTATTATAAGGAATCAAACGAAAGTTCCGATGTGAGAGTATTTGATTTCACAGAAAATCAACTCGATGATTTGATTAACTATATTGAAAGATTGTTTCCTAAGTTAGATATGCCAAAATTGGCTGCTGCATGGAAGTCAATCCATGGAGCTGTGGATCCTGCAAGATCAAGGTTCTTTGATAACAAACCAAACGATATTAAGGAAGATCAAAATTCGAATAATTCTCCTACAAGCCCAAACGACAACGATTTATGGCATTCGAGGGAAAATTGGCAGGCTTCTTCATTCTTACAGCAAGATTTCACCAATGTAATGGAATCATTGTTTCATGTAGATGACCCACTTTTTTATTGGATGAATGAAGATATAAATAACCAGCCTTTTGAATTCAATACTACAAGCCAAAAAATTTAGTGATTATCCATAATTATTTAGATATATTCATATATATGATATTTATTTTCACAAGTAGTCATAATTTATTATAATAATTGTCAGAATTCTTTTTGACAGATAACTTCACCATGGACGAACAAGAGCCAACCTCTAACGTCATCTATGAATTCATTCCAAGAATCAATAATTTCCTCTCTCTTTCTGGTATTTGCTTCTTCGTCCTCTTTAACCAAGACTTCCTTCGCCTCTTTCATTCTTTTAATAAACATCTCACTAAACCATTTTCGGTCATCATCATTGGATATACACCAAGTAGAAACAGTAGAATGAATATGCCTCAGTTTTATTCCAGCACTTAATGCCAAATCTCTTAGTGACCTTCCTCTATTATCAGAAGTAGATGAATTCTTTGTCTTCAATAAGAAGTATTCTACAATAGTGTCTTCGTACTTTGGTGGATAGACCGATGTTGCCCTAAGATCAGCTTCTCTGGAGCATACATATCCTGTTGGTTTCAAAACCCTTACCATTTCTTTAAAAGCAGTTTCTGGATCTTCTAAATGAATTAAAACTTGATGACAATGCACTATATCAAAAGAATTATCTTCGAATGGTAAAGAATAGGCAGAAGCGATCTTGAATTCGGCATTCTTGACTCCATTAGAATACTTGTGATTATTTGCCTCTTTGATCAATTGCTCAGTAGGCTCGATACCAACCACCTTCCCATTAGGAACATGCTTCGCTAAATCACAACTAATGGATCCTGGACCACACCCAACGTCTAGTATAACATCGGTTGATTTGATAAAAGAGAGCATATAAGCACATGAATTTTCAGCTGTTCTCCAAGAATGAGTTTCCGATATACTTTTTTGGTATCCATTACCATAGTAAGCTTGATCTTGAGTATAGCCTGACATATTGAACTCAATTAGACTGATGGAAAGGAGTCTTAGTCATAGGTTAGTTGATCTGAAAAATGGGTCTATTTCTTCGTGACCATACTTTATCTTTGTAACTGCATACAAGTTCGAGTAGTGAACTTATCAACAAAGTGAGCGAGAATTTTTGCAGTCTTTTTCACTTATTTTTAGGAACTACGGTTTGACTAATATGACTAGGAATTAAACTATTTATGTATACTAACTCTTAAATCCATAGGCACTCCAGTTGTCATTGATTTTTTGCTGGAGTTTTACCTCGTAACTGGAATAGTCACAAGTCGTGAAAGAAAAGTCCGGGTCTTGATATTGCTTTGGGAGTAAGCAATCAGTAACTACTTTCCCCCCTTTCTTACTTTTTATTCTAGGACCATTGGAAATGAATGGAGCCAAGGGGAAGGCTGGAACTTCGTGGAAGAAAGTCTGGTCATCATCAGGAGTATGTCTGGTAACATAGGCCCAAAAGAATTTACGGAAATCAAAGATATCGATATCGTCACCTACTAAAACAATTTCGTGGATAATTGAAGCTATTTTGGTTTCGAAATACAAGTCTCCGAAAAGCTTTCTTAATTCGACACTGGTGGTGTTCAATTTCACCAATTCTTTAGTATTGATTTTGAAAGCAGCCCATAAAGCTTGAGCTTCGTAGGGAGTAAAGACATCCATGACGATTTTACTTAAAATAGGATGGTTTAAAGCTAAATTTTTCAATTCAGCACTGACTAATCCACCAATAAGGGTATGGGTTTCGTCTGTGCACAATCCCGGATTGGAAACAGGTAAAATAGCATCATCTCTATAATTTATGACATCTACGGTATATAAAGGACAAGGATGACCAGTACCTGGGAAAACATAACCATGCATTTCACCAAAAGGGCCCTCATTAACCAAGTTATTGATATTAAGAACCCCTTCAAAGACCAATTCAGATTCAGCAGGAATTTCAAGATCACTTAATTCAGCTTTGACAACCGGTAATGGTTCACCACAAATTGCACCTATATACTCTGATTCCGTAGCACCTTCAGGAATAGGCATTGAAGAAACCAAAATTGCAGCAGGAGGGACCCCAAACGCCAATACGTAAGGAATAGAATCACCTTTACCGATTTTGGCCCATTCATTAGCAACTTTTCTAATATGTTGAGGATTAATAACCAAACCAGTCAAATGTTTGTCGTCATGGATCATTGCTCTCGCAATTGACCAGTTAGTCCATTTTTTATCTGGAGTTTGTAATATGAACATCCCATAAGTCTGGATATATTTCCCACCATCTCCTGGATGTAAAATTGGGGCTGGTAAAGAGTTTAACTTAATATCAGAACCAGTCAATCTATTTTTATGGAAAGGAGCATTTGAAACTTTGGTTGGAGGAACCAACTTTTTTTGCTTACAATCTAATAAGAAATCGATGATTTCATTCATAGGAGTTGTAGCTGGTAAGCCGATATGATGAGCAATTCTAGCATGATCTTGAGATTTTTCATTACGCAAGCATCCGAGATTACCAATCATATTAAACAAGTTTTTAGGATCTGGATTCTTCGGGTCCTTTTTCAAATTTTTGAAAAACGGAACTGGAGCTTTTGATTCAAGTGCCTTCCTCATAATGGCACCAGCTTCAAGATTAGGGTCAATTTCTTGGGAGATTTCAACCAAATCATTTTCAAGTCTAAGAGTTTCAATGAAGTCTCTAAATCTAAGGTGTGGTTCTAAAACAGTCATTGCAACGTATAAAAATTAAGTTGGTATCTATGTTAATTCAAAAGCTATCGGTAAAGAAAGTTATATATATTTAAAAAGTGCTTGCATATTGGGTTCGAATATCTGGCCAGGCCCACAGATTTACGGAACCAATAACCAATGAAACCACAAAGAGTCCAGCCAAAAAAAAAAGAAGGTTAGCTTTATTGGCACCATGACAATTGGAGTTTATTAATGGTACAAAAATAACTAAAAAGGGGACCAGATTCGTACAATTTCCCGATTCCAAATCACCGATTTCAAATCGGCAAACTAGTATCGGCTCTTCCCGCCTTGACTAATGACTCGAATATTGGGGTTAGCTTTGTTTATGAGTTCTTCGGCAAACTTGCTGGGATCCCCGATGTACTTTTTAACAAGGTCAACTCAACAAAAACGCTCAAAAAATATTCTTACAAGAAACTAAAAAACCCAAAACTGGAAAAATAAATTTAAAAACCAAAGAAAATAAATCAAAAATTAAAAAAAAAAAAAAAAAAATAAAATAAAATAAATTAATTAACAAATTAAAATAAAAAAAGCCTCATAGTAAAGTGAAAAAAAAAGTAAAACTATTCTTGTACTGGAAAACGAAAAGGAGATTTACCAATTAATTAGCTCAAACAATCAAAACCATGGAAGTATCAATGAAATACCAAGTTCCAATGCAAAACAATCGGAACTCGGGTTTCAAGAACTGACTGGAGTAGGAACGGTTAGTAAACCTGTAGGCAGCAGCTAAAACGAAGCCAAACAAAAAAAAAAAAAAAAAAAAAAATCTGGAAAAAGGTTTGGAAAAATGTCAAGAATCCGTCTGGCTACCCGATTTGGGTCATATTATTCGGCCGAGCAGCCTGATGCATCAGTTTTCTTTATATAGGTTTCGTCGAGCTAAATTACTGCTGTTGTATAGTATTCTTCTTCTATAAGTCATTAATTCCAAATGCTCAGCAGTTTCAGAATCCCATTCAGACGTATAATACGATTACCGAGTCTCGCCAGATCTAATGTCAATTTAAGATTTTCTACATCATCATATCTCAGCGCAGACCATCATCAGATAGATTATGAAAACGTCGATAACAGTATGTACAGAGCCAACCAAGCTCAACCAGCCCGTCCGAGAAGGATAGTGGTGGCGATAACTGGAGCAACTGGGATTGCTTTGGGTATAAGGACATTAGAAATATTGAAACAAATGGGTGGGTTTGAAACTCACTTAATCATGTCTAAATGGGGGATTGCTACCATGAAATATGAAACTGACTACGATTATGAATACGTCAAAAGTTTGGCTTCCAAAGTATACTCTTCGAAAGATGTCACTGCTCCAATTTCTTCGGGCTCGTTTATTCACGATGGGATGATTGTCGTTCCTTGCTCAATGAAAACTTTGGCTGCTATTCGGATAGGTTATACTGAAGATTTAATAGTAAGGGCTGCTGATGTTACTTTAAAGGAAAGACGGAAATTGTTATTGGTTACAAGAGAAACCCCATTATCAGCTATTCATTTAGAGAACATGTTAAAACTTGATCAAATGGGGGTCATAATATTTCCTCCAGTACCAGCTTTCTATACGAGACCTCAATCCATAGAAGATGTAATCGAACAAAGTTGTGGAAGAATCTTAGATTGTTTTGGTATCGATACTAATAGTTTCCCTCGTTGGGAAGGTATAAATAATACAAAACAGTTGAAAAAGAAATAATCTTTATAAAGTTTAAATTGCATATCCTATATAATTTTTAATAAAAAAAAATTTTACAAAAAGCATCCACATCGATACTAATTTGTGGTTTTGATTCCAAGTGGAACTTGAAAGTGGTTGTGGTGATGATTATGATGAGTGTGATCTTGATGCAGTTTCATTTGTGAATGAGATGATTCCTTTGCTTTAGTTGACTCATTTGACTTGGTTGATTCTTTTGGCTCTTCCTCTACTGGCTTTTCAGGATCATCGTCATAGACGATCCAGTCTGCAAATCCATCATTGAAAGTAGCCTGTAACTTCTTCTCAATTTTGAATAAATTCTTTTCTTCTTCTATGATGCTTTCAAAAATATCATATTCTTCATCGGTAAGTAAACATTCATCAAGTGCTTTACTTAATCCAATACGATCAATCTCAACCCCAATGAAAACTAATTCATTTCTTCTATCTCCATATTTTCCTTGCATATCTTTTTCAATGAGCTCTTTGACTCCAGGTGGGTAAAATTCCGGTCCAGTTACTGAGAACCATGGAAGCCCACCTTTGAGAGTCATCATGGCACCAGCACTTGACCATTCTCCTCTATTAATATAACGAGAGGCCAACCAGAAGAATCCTTTTGATCTTAGCATAGGTCCGAAAACAGATTTCTTCTTGTTGCGTATAATCTGTTTGTTACTTGGTTGAACAAAGTCATCATCTTCCTCTTCTTCTTCTTCTTCTCCATCTTCATCGTCTTGTTCGTCATCATCTTCGTCATCATCTTCTTCCTCGTTTTCTTCGTCTTCTTTTTCTTCGTCTTCGAAACCTGATTGTTCAATCACTATATACTTATCTCTAATTAATTTGTAAAGTCTTTCAGGGTGGAAAGGTTTCCTATTCCTGTAGACAAAATTATTAATTCTATACTCTTCTGTTTCTGGTTTTGGAGTTAAGGTGGATTTTCCTGTCGAGCTTTCTCTTATAGTCATTTCATTGATACTTTGTAACCATCCTGCAGAAGCTGACAGTTTTTCAAAATCGAATAACTTAGTATTCACAACGTCCTTTATTGGTACATCACAATAATTAGTAGGAATGATCTTAGCGACTGGATTTAATGATTTTATTAGTTTTTCTATCTTACGTTGCTTTCTTTTCTTAATGCCTTTGACTTTATTCATGATAATAATATCAGAAAACTCGATTTGATCAACCATCAAATCAGTAATAGTTCTTTCTGTTTCACCTTGACCATTATCACCAAATCTATCAGCCAAAAAATCTGTTGTTTCAAAATTTGCTAAAAAATTAACAGCATCAATTACTGTAACACAAGTATCTAATTGAACAATTTTGTTTAACCCACCAATATTTACAATTTTTTCTAAAGACATTTGTTCTTCTTCATTTAATGATTCCAGGTTTTGCAAAATCATTTCAGAAAATTCAGTTGTGAAGGTTTCAGCAACTTGCATTGGTTCAGAAATGCCCGTTGATTCGATTACGATATACTGGAATTCGCCAGAAAGGGCTAATGTTGCCAATTCTTCAAGCAAATCACCCCTAAGAGTACAACATATACAACCATTTTGAAGTTGAATAAGTTTTTCTTCCTTTTGAGTGACTCTATGATTTTGAATTAAGGCAGCATCAATGTTAATTTGAGAGACATCGTTGATTATTACAGCTATTTTCAAACCATGATCGTGAGTAAGTATTCTTTCCAATAATGTGGTTTTACCGGAGCCTAAAAATCCAGATAATAAAGTAACTGGAATTGGTTTTCTTGAAGTACTTTCTGGCATGTTCTTCTGTTTAATTAGTACATAAACAGATCAAGCCGGTCAAAAGCTCTATATGACTGCCCTTTTATACTATCCTCATATCGCTAATTCATTTTCGATTTGCTCTTCTTCAACCCTTGGAGTTATTACAAAACAGGTGGGCCTATCTAAATGAGGTTACTGCTACGGTCAACATTCTAATGAATCTATGGTTTTTGCAGACAAATTGCATGCAGGTTCACATCCAGCTGACTCATTGGGTATAATAGGGCTTTTTATTGGCTCACATTGCTTTAACAATAATGGTTATCAATACTCTTTCTCTTAGTGGTTATAGATACAATGAGCTCTGAATAACCACTATAGGTTTATTCAAAAATTTTCGCAATCGAACTTTTGAAATAACTGGTTCAAGCTGTTTTTTTTTTTCAAGAAGACAATGTTTCTTTCGAGAACCGGAATGTCACTTGACTTTGAAAGTACTTCCTGTGTCCTGTAATCATTTCACTTATTTTTTTAAAGGCACTTGAGGTAAGAGTATAAAAAGCATATAAAAAAGTTGCAAAGTGAAAACAGCCAATTTCACAAGAAACTTATGACACTTCAGTTTTTAAATTGTAATTTAATGAGGCTTGGTAACTCCAAAAGTATCTTATAATGGCTTACAGTTATAATTTGATTGTATGGAGTACCTATAAAAAGTACAAAGTTTGCAACAGAACAACAACTGAAGACCGGTACGCAAGCACATAAAACAGTTCAACATTCCTCCTCTTAGAAGTGATGAGTTAATATCACAATTGGCCCTCTTGTTTCTTCGTCCCAGCTGTTTTACGTATCAATGTATTAGGTTGCAAATCGTTTTGGGTGGGTGTGTGCGTACCGATAGTAGTCCCCCCCCCACCTTTGGGGATTGGACCTTCTGTCAGAAAACTACAGCCTTTGGTTTTCAGTATAAATCGACAAATAATCAACAACCAAGTATCTCATTTTCACTAGTCAGTTATATAAAATGGCCGATATATACAAGTACACATTGGAGCAGTTGGACAAATTGGAAGAAAACACGGTTTTGTCCCAATTCACTAGTGAAGATGCTTGGAAATTAGGAAGTTTAGCTAGAAAACTTGCAATTGAAAAATATCCCCATAAAGCAATTGTCATTGATATCACTTTGAATGGTGGACAAGTATTATTTCATTCTGTTGTTAATGCAGGTACTGCCATCGATAACGATGAATGGATCAATAGAAAGAAGAACACGGTTTTAAGAATTGGTAAATCAAGTTTTTACGTTGGACAAAAATTAAGACTTAAAGAAAAATCAATTGAAGATGGCCTTTTCATTTCTTCTAAAGACTACGCTGCTCATGGTGGTAGTGTTCCAATGAAAATCAAAGGATTTGACGGGATTATTGGGGCTCTTACTATCAGTGGGTTAGCTCAAGAACAAGATCATTTATTATCGATTGAAGCTTTGGAAAAATACAGTTCATAGATATCATATATATATATATATATTAAAAAATAAATAAATTAAACTTCGGTTGGACCGAAAAATTCAGAGAATACGTTCGAAATTCCTTTCTTTGATAATTCGGATTGAACAAACTTCATGTAAGAAGTAGGACCTAACAAATAAATATCTTTATTGACTAAATCCATGCGATCAAAATCTGATGATTCCAATGGTCTAAATTCGGCTTGGTCAATAACTATGCCATCGGATTTATTTGATATATATTCGTTGAGATTGAATTTATATTTCTTTAAATTTTTCAAGTATTCAGTGAAGGGTCTTGACTCGATGGTTTTGTTGGAGTAATACATGTCAACTTTCTTACCGGAACTCAAAGCTTTTTCGAGAATAGATATGATTGGGGTTATTCCAATACCCCCAACGAAAAGGATCAAGTCTTTATCAGTTTCCTGGTAGGTGAATTGACCAGCAGGTGGTGAAACTTTTAATACATCACCAATTTTCAAATCATTATGAACATAATTGGAGATCTTTCCATCGGGTAATTTTCTAACCGATATACGATATTCATTAGTCTTAGGGAACTCAGATAATGAATATTCTCTCGATTTTTCCACGTCATCACCGGGTAATGTCCATCTAATACAAACGTATTGACCTCTTTTAGGTAAGGCGATCTTGCCTTCTAAGGGACTGAAATAGACTGATTTAACGTTATTTGATTCATCAATTAAGCTGGTCACTTTGAACTCTTTGAATCCAATCCAATCCTGTTGTTGATATTGTTCGAATTCAGCATTTATTAAAATTTGAGCCAAATTACCGTATGCAATTTCCCAAGCTTTAAGAAATTCAGGGGTTGCAATTTCTTCACCTAACAATTCTTTCATTGTGCCTAGCAAACAAGAACCAACTATAGGGTAGTGTTCGGCCTTGACTTGCAAACCAACATGCTTTACCACAATTTGATGAACAAAGCCTAACAAGGGAGTTAAATCATCGATATTTTTAGCATAATTCAACACTGCAAAGGCCAAAATCCTAGGTTGTTTTAAATTTTTTTGATTAGTTTCATTGAAAAAAGGCTTAACTTCAGGGAAGTTATTGAGCATCTTGTTATAAAACTTGGAAGTAAGCAATTCCCCCGATGATTCGAGAATAGGAACCGAAGCTTTTATGAAAGCCTTTTGACTTTCAGTTAAATCTTGAATAGAATAGATTTGGGGTGCTGAATTTTGTTGAATACTTGGAGACATTACTAATGGTTAAGGACATCATAACTGAGCATAACTCAACATAATCCAGTCTACTTATATACCTACAAGGTTAAATAAATCGAATGTTAAAATTTTGCTGCTAAAAAAGAGTATTGCAAAATCCTGCACACAATACGCAAAAAACACACCACCGTCGCCTTAACAAAGCGAAAAAAACGGATTTTGAAAAACGCTGGGGTTTGAATCAAGTTCCGTAAGCTGCGAAAATTAGTTATATTCAACGTAGATGGTTTCACCGTAGTTATCCTTTTTCAACTTCAAGCTACTGTTGTTTATTTCCTCTTCGCTTTTCAAAGAGGAAAGAGGGTTACCGTAATCCAAGTGTCCGCAGAAAGGTTCACTGAGATTTAATCCTAGTAAACTAAGAGCTTCTACTGAATAATTTTTGAAAAAATCAGCATTTTGATCAACAAAATAGTTTTCCTCTTGTTTCAAGTAACTTTTAGTCATGAAAAAAAATGAAGAAATTCGATCTTTATCGGTGTTATTTGCACTTGCAGCATGATAAGTTGAACCCAATATAAAAGCAGCATCACCTTTATCTAATTCTATATAATTACAATTTTTTTCTTCGGGATGACGATAAGGACCATATAAATGGCTTAATGGAATGACTCTAGTGGCACCGTTTTCTTTTGTTGTTTTAGTCATTGCAACTGTTAAACCAACCATTGATTCATCACCATAAACAAAATGGTCTCTGTCTTTATGAACGTTATGATGAACCATGTCTTCACGATGATACATTTGATCAGAAGCACCCGGGCCAACTTTGTAAGTGATACCAGAATTTAATTGAATAGTACTTTTACCGGTTCTAATTTTATTATTTATCCAGAAATAATTAGATTCGTCTAGGAAATTCGAAGCAATTGACAGGAAAAGAGGATTACAAACGACGTCTTGAGTAACGGTGGGAGATTTCAAAACCGTTCTAGTAACTACTGTTGTTTGACGAGGGAAAGGAGATCCATTCCACAGTTGATCTCTGAAAAAAAAAGGTTCAACTTCATCAATTATTTGATCACAAGTATTACTTGAAAGAAAATTTTTGACAATCACCACTCCGTATTTTTCAAGATTCGAGATTATCAGTTTAGTATCTGATTTATCATTAACGGTATAATTAGCATTGGTTATTACCGGGTTAGTTTGGGGTTGACGAGGTATTTTAGCGTACTTCTTCCCATCGCTTGCTAAGTAAGGGTCGATTAAGTTTAAGGACTTGGTGAATTGGGTCATTCTTAGAGTGGGAAGAGAATAAATTAGACTCTTACAGAATTGCAATCTACTTTAAATATCGAGAGCGATTTGAGTCAATGACTCAAGATGACTCGGTCGTGTGCGGCACACCCATGATTCATGAGTACTCACAAGCGTATTCAGTATACTTAGTGTAATATGACTGAGTACTCAGGACCAGACTCGGATCTCCAGAGGGAAGTCCGATCCCCATTGGCAAATGGGGAACCAAGACCCAATTCAATAGCAAGATACGCAAGGCTGACTTTGAGAAGAGGGGATTTTACGACTGTTGATCTTACCATTGCAGTATAATCGTCCGTCAAAACCAAGGAATTCCTTCTCCACAAATTGCCCAAGATCTTTCTTGCCCGATGACTACACCTGATGCAAGAGCTACCAGAATCACCTGAGTTAGCTTACCTGGACTAAATCACCTAGTAAGCTACTAGAAACTAATAGAAAGTAATAGAAACTAATAGAAACTAATAGAAACTAATAAAAACTAATAGAAACTACTAGTAAATCCAGTAAATTACCTAATCAATTACTTAATCACCTAAGTCCATGGTGGCTGTAAACGTTGAGCGAACGTTGAGTTAATACTTAATACTAATACTGCACAGCTTCCCCAGACTAACTTCCACAATTAGCCTTTGGAATAAAACGTACAAAACCGAAAAACACCCCAAACTGTAAACCTTGTAAATTGCATTGTTCAACCTGCAAAAGGCGATGCTCAACCTGCGAATGCCGCCCAAAGGCGGTTGCACAAAAAAATTGTTTTCGGGTGAATTTGAGGAAAAGAAACGAGGGATCGGGTCTTTTTTTTTCCAGAATTTTTTACTTGATTTCGTGGCTGCTAAAATTTATGGGCAAATAACAAGGCCTTCCCCAACCGATGATCATCCAATTTTGAATATTCGGGGGATTCACCTTTGAATTACTTCCACTGGGTATTGGGTGGGAATTGCCGGAGGGTATTGGTTTGGGTATTGGTTTGGGTATTGGTTTGGGTGGATTGGTTTTGCGATAGTTTAGTATTCAGGTCGATTATCAGTTGGTTCTCATCTCAAGGCATTTAACCTGAACCACAAAAAAGAAATCCGGATGGTCCCTTTCACCTTTTGTGAATAGAAAGTTCGGATCTATTACCAGAAGTTGAATATCGGACCTTTTCTTACTTTTCTTTTTATGTACAATAAATTTTTTTAATCTGGTTTACTCGATAAGATTATCGGAACCCAAAGCGTGTCAATGTACAACGGAGTAATTTGGTATAGTAGGAAAGGTTCGCCTGGAAAGCTTTCCCTATTAAGCCAGATAGCTGGGTTTTTTCTAGACCTAACTGGGTTTTTTTCTTTTTTGTTGCAAATAAAAAAATTTTAACCCACTAAATTATTAATTTATATATAAGTAGATTATATCTTTATAATAAACTTTTTTTTTAAAAAATTGTAATATAATAATATAATATAATATAATAATACCATAATGTCACCTATTCAAGAAGATACTTTATTTAATAAACCAAATACTTGTTTAAAGATTACTCCAGATCGTGAATTGGTTGTTGATCGTGCACCAATTCCTCAAATCTTACCCCATCAAGTGATGGTTCATATTAAAGCCACTGGTGTTTGTGGTTCTGATATTCATTTATGGAAAGATGGTGGAATTGGTAATTTGAAAATTACTGAAGATTTAATTATTGGCCATGAAACTGCCGGAGAAATTGTTGGTATTGGTAGTGATGTTGTTCAAGGTTTTGAAATTGGTGATCGTGTTGCTATTGAACCACAAACTCCATGTGGTAAATGTTTCTTATGTACTGGAGGTCATTTAAATTTATGTAATGATGTTGATTTCTTAGGTATGCCCGGTATGCCAGGTAGAGCAGCATCAATTCCTGGATCAATGCAAAGATTTTTGGTTTTAGATCCAATGTGGGTTCATAAAATCCCTGATAATATGAGTTTTGAAGAAGGTGCTTTAGTTGAAGTATTTTCTGTTGCTTATCATGGTATTGAAAGAGCCGGTAATTTGGAATTAGGTAAACCTTGTTTTATTGCTGGTATGGGTCCAATTGGTTTAGCTACTTTGGTACTTGCTGACGCTGCCGGTGCTTATCCAATTGTAGTTAGTGATGTTTCTCAAGATCGTTTAGATTTTGCTAAAGAATTAATACCATCAATTAAAACTTATCAAATTCAAACTGATAAAGATGTTAAAGAAAATGCTAATAATATAAGATCAATTTTTGGTAATGATGAATATGAAATGCCTTCTGCAGTATTAGAATGTACCGGGGTTCATTCTTCAATTAATACTTGTTGTTATGTTGTTAGAAGAAAAGGTGCCTTGACTATTTTAGGGGTTTCTGGTAAAAATGAAATTGATAACTTCCCATTTATGACCATATCTTTTGGTGAAGTTGATGTTAAATTTGTTAATCGTTATCGTGATTCCTGGCCTCCAGTTATTAATTTAATTGCTTCTGGTAAGGTTGATGTTAAAAAATTTGTTACTCATAAATTTAGTTTGGAACAAGCAAATAAAGCTTTAGAAACCGTTCGTAATCCAAAAATCCCAAGCATTAAGGTCATGGTTTGCGATGATGTCGAATTGTTTTAGTGTATATTAGTCATAGTCATTTAATTAATTATTTATATATCACATACTGTAGCATAACAACTAGATAACTAAGTAACTATAACTAGATAACTAGATAACTAAGTAACTATAACTAGATAACTAGATAATTATAACTAAGTAACTATAACTAGATAACTAGATAACTAGATAATTATAACTAGATAAATGAATTAAATTAACTAGATAAATAGATGAATAACTAAACTAAATCAACTACAACCAAATCAACAAATACATATTACTTTCAACTACATTAGATACGTTAGATACAACAATTCAGTAGATTATGTATTCGTTTATTATATTTTATATATCATTTATCATTTATCATTAAGTACTAATTTTTTGCTCGTACTTACTCAATACTTCAACTTTACCAGCAGATGCACTAGATTCATCGAATTTATAATTTAACCATTCTCCAACCAATCTTCTTGCCAATTCAATTCCAATAACCCTTTGTCCCATACACAAAACTTGACAGTTATTAGAAAGAATCGATCTCTCAACACTAAAACTATCATGTGCAGTAACTGCTCTAATTCCAGCAACTTTATTTGCAGATATAGCAACCCCTAAACCCGTACCACAAATAAGGATACCACGGTCAGCTTTACCACTGCTAATCAACTCTCCAGCTTCTATACCAACAACCGGGTAAGCAGTTGGATTAGTGGAACTATCAACCCCAACGTCAATCACTTCCTTAACCAATGGGTTCTGCTTTAAATCCTTCTTGATGATTTCCTTGTAATCATAGCCTGCTTGATCTGATCCGAGTACTATAGTTAATGACATCTTCACTGTATAGGTTTACTTTATATTTTCAATTAATACTTTCATCAATAAAAGAATCAGTATGTGATTTTTCACTTTTAAATAACTTTATCCAACGGACTCGACTCGGAATGCTCTTTTTTCTTTTTCCTGGTGGTCATCTCATATTCCGATAAAGATTCCCCCCCTCCTTTGCCAGTTGGACAAACTGAATATCTGAAATGAATAGATGAAGACCGGGTTATTTTGCGGTAAACTCCCAGTGATGTTTGCAACTCTTCTCCTCTTTGTGTAAGGCGTTAGTGTTGCTTCTTCGGGAAGTCTCTCCTGGGTTACCCCATTTGGAATGGCTGCTTTACCAAAGGAAAAAAAAAAATTCTATAAAATTTAAAAATTATACCGACGAAAAATGGTCCCAAAATTCTACTCTTTTCTTTTCCTTTCTTTGACGTTTTGCCGATAAACTGATTTCAGTGAAGGCGATGACTACCACAATTTTCGGTATTGTATTTGGTACTGTATTTGGTACTGTATTTGGTACTCTAGGAGGTACTCTGAGAGGTACTGTATAAGGTACTGTATTTGGCAAGCTATTCGAAAGCGTTCCATAAAGGGATCTGATTTAGGTGCTCCTCTTTTCTTTTTGCAATAGCTTTTTTGCAATTTACACTAAACTCATCGTTGCCCATCCCCACTAATGTAGATAGATATATATAAGTATATAGGTAATGTAGATAGAAGTTTAAATTTTGAGTTTCTTTCCAATTGACAATCAATTGTATTCTTACACTATGCCAAAACACTTTTTACCAAAGGAAGAAAGCCATCTTGTCAGTCACTGTCTCAAAGGGGTTATTTGTGAAAACGATGATTTATCTCTCTTAGAAAATGAAAAAGTGGTTTACTATAATAAGTATAGCGACTCTAAAGTTAGTTTAATCAGTGGTGGTGGTTCTGGTCATGAACCTCTGTGGAGTTCAATGGTTGGTAAAGGAATGTTAACTGCTGCTGCTCAGGGGGATGTTTTCGCCAGTCCAAATGATAAAAATATACAAGCTGCCGAAAAGGCAACTCATTCAAATGCCGGGGTTATTTTCATCATTACCAATTACACTGGTGATAATTTATATTTTGGTATGGCTGCTCAAGATTTAATCTCTCGTTACGGTGAAGATAAGGTTCGTTTACTTCGTGTTACCGATGATGTTGCCGTTGGTAAGAGTACCGGGGGGTTAGTTGGTCGTAGAACTCTTGCTGGTCATGCTTTAGTGATGAAGGTTTTAGGAGCTGCTTCTGAACGTAATTATAATATAAATGACATTTTCCAATTGGGGGTTGATATCAATAAAAATATCGCTTCCATTAATGCCGGTTTGGATCATGTACACATTCCTGGTCATGGTGCTGATGAAGATTACGGTCAATTGGGTCCTTCTCAGATTGAAATCGGGTTGGGTATTCATAATGAACCCGGGGTGGTCAAAATCAATCATGTTCCAACTAATGAAGAATTGATCAATCAATTACTTCATTATATTTTCAACACTGAAGACCCTGAACGTGGTTGGTTTGAATACGATAAAGATGATGAAATTGTCTTGTTATTCAATAACTTGGGTGGTTTACCAATTATTGAAGAAAAAGCATTGTTGTATCAAACCGTTAAACAATTGGATTCCACCTATGGTATCATCCCAGCCCGTGCTTACTCTGGTGCTTTTGTCACTTCTCTTAACGCCCCCATCTTTACCATCACTCTTTTCAATGTCACCAAATCGGTATCCACCAAATTTTCTTCTAAACAAATTTTTGACTTGTTAGATGATACCACAACCGCAACTGGTTGGACCAAGAGTCATATTCCTCAAAATGATTCTTTCAAAAACAGAATTATTAGCAATTTCGAAGGTTATGCTGAAGATGAAAAAGCCGATTTCTCCCATGATATCAATATCGATTCTAACTTATTAGTTAAGGTTATTCAAACTGCTGCTGATAACGTCATCAAAAAGGAACCGGAAATTACTGATTGGGATACTAAAATGGGTGATGGTGATTGTGGTAAAACTTTAGAAACTGGTTCTTTGGCAATCTTGCGTGAATTGAAACAAAATAGTTTATCAGATGGTTCAGTCATAACCGCTTTACATTTGGTTTTGAAAGTTATTAAAGAAGATATGGGTGGTACTTTAGGTGCCATTTTGTTCATTTTCATGAAATCTTTTATAAACAAATTAGAAATATTAATCGCTGATGAAAATTCAAAATCAGAAAATGTTTTCGGTATCGCTTTACTTCATGGTATAACTACCTTGTGTGAGTTTACCAAAGCCAGAATCGGTCATAGAACAGTGATGGATGTCTTGATACCATTCTGTGAATCTTTTGCTAAATCAAATGATATCAATACCGCAGTGGAAGTTGCAAGAAAAGCCGCTGAAGGTACTAGAAAATTGAAACCAAAGTTGGGTCGTGCTACTTACGTTGGTGGTATTGATAACCAAACTGATTTCCCTCCTGATCCCGGTGCTTATGGGGTATACGAAATCATTGATGCTTTAAAATTGCTTGCTTAAATTTTTACCTAATTTCACACGTTTATATATTATTTAATTTTTATAGATGAAATATTATAATGTTAATTCTTTTTTCAATTTATCTAAAATTTGTTTGGCATTAAGGTCAGTATCAATTAATGGATAATTTGAACCAGCCAAATAAAATTGATTACCGATACTTGAACTTAATTTCTTATAACGATTATAAGCATATCCATATTCTGGTAACTCTTTATTTGAAAGTTCTTCATAAGCACAAACTAATCTTTCAATAAATGGAATCTTTAAAGTTCTTGCGGGTTTCCCAGAAACAAGTTTTGTCATAATGGTTGGAATCAATTGATTACTCTCAATGGATTCTTTAATAAAACTTGGTGCTGAAGATTCCGGAGTTGGAATGAATATGGTACCCATTTGAACAGCTGCAGCTCCGGATTTTACATATTGAGATATGGCTTCTCCATCAACAATTCCTCCGGAAGGTATAATGAATGTATTTTTGGTATCCAATTTCTTCATAATCAAATTAAATAATGAAGATGTTGGTAAGTTTTCATCAAGACTTTGATCAACCAAAAAATTACCCCGATGACCACCGGCTTCGTACCCTTGGCAAACTATCCCATCCACACCCAAATCAATCAAATGTTTGGCTTCAGCAACAGATGTAGCAGTGACAAACACTGAAATACCATTTTCTTGTAAGGTTTTAATCGATTCCAAGGATGGATGGCCAAAATGGAAACTGACTACGTGAGGTTTAATTTTGATCAAAGTTGAAATGAACTCTTTAAACATATCTGGAGTAGTGGATTCAACTTCTTTGATTGAGATGTTAATCTTTGTATGATTTTCATCCAACTTATTTTCAACTTTACTGGCCTTATTATAAATCTGATTCCAATTTTTCAATTCTTGATTAGTCGGTAAATGGTCATTTTCAAATTCGTGACTGAAAAAATTGAAATTCACGTTTTGACTTAACGACTCATCAACTTGTAATTTGAATTCTTGCCATTTTTCATTAATAACTTCTGAACCTTTACGAAAGTCACTTGCAGCAAATGCAATTGACCCAAGACCCCCATTATTGGTAACTGCCGATGCCAACTTCACGGTAGACACCCCGGCCATCGGTGCCTGGATGATTGGAACCTTCAACTTGAGCTTAGAAATAAATAGATTACTTGTCATTGTGCCAATGCTGTTGATAACCTGATCTTAATCGATGCCCTCTCCTCCAGGCTTATATATCAGCTTCCCCGGACTTTGTTTTCACACCCCGACAGTCCGTGTTCTGGTGCACGGGTGTAACGTTCATTCGGAGAAATGGACATTTCGCATCAACTCTACACTCCATGTATATCTATATCTATATTGTAATATTAGTAGGACTTATAACCCGTAATATTGTTAAACTTGTGTTGTTGGGGTGTATATTAAAAAAAATGTATATACAGCAGAGAGAATTTCGATACACTAGCTTGTTTTTTCGTAAGATACTGAAACACCGTACGGTAAGTTCAATATTTATAGAAGGAGAAAATACAGGTTAAACAAGATAGAGAATAAATGTCAGATTAATTAAGATCTTAACCATAAACCTTATCTTGAGATTAAATTGTAAGTCTCATGATTATACCTTTCGTCAAGACGTTGGAGTAGGGTTTGCAATAAACTGTAATAAGTGTGCTAAGCTGCATTTGAGTAGGAAGCTAAACTGCATCCCATTACATATATCCCTACACCTATACCCATTATCATTAGTACTTACTCCTATACCGGTCTAAATTGCCGTGATACTCACGTGAAGATGCTCTTTCTTCTGCCAAAAACTTAAAAAACAAAACACACTTTATAGTGATTTCGTGTTCCGATATTTTTTCACTGCTGCTCAAGATAAGTAAGCGAATCGCCGTTCCAATATTAAGCCCTACATATACTCGATTTTAGGGGGCGCATAAGGACATGAGCATGAATAAACCTGTGGAGTCCGGTGTTTGTAATTGAAAGCATTTGGAACGGGAAACCGTTGCATAACTGTCAAAATGGATTTGGCTGGCCGTTCGATTCGAACACAAAATAGCCAAAAACAATAGTAGTCACTTTTACGAGATTCAAAAGATCACCAACTTTTTAGGAAGGGATGAGCACCAAAAAAGAAGTAACTCTTATCGTTACAATAGACTGCGAAAAGATTCTGTATTCACGATTAGCTCATCTGGTAGTCAATGGTTCAACTCTGTTTAAGGTCGGTTTAAGGTCGGTTCAATGTAGAGGCTTATTCAAGACTTAGTCAAACTGTTAAGAAGAGGATTCCTTTTTTGAATCTGCTTATTAGAAAGGCGCTGTTGGCTGAACTAACGAAAAGGGAACTGGCGATATTTTTTGCCAGATGGTTATTTTCTATATCACCTCGAAAGATTATTTTGTAAACCGTAAACTTTTCACAACATCTATGTTATATCCATTCTCATGTATCCAATGGCTAAAACGTTTGAAAGTTATATAAATGAAGGTAGGTATTCATTCTTCTTGGGGCTTTCAGGGTAACTAAAGACTTTGCCAAATGAAATTGCTGCTAAAAAAACTTTTTTTCATTTTACCGGTGGCCTTTGCAGCCCCATTATCCAGCGATTTTAACGCTACAGTCAACGGATCCAGTACAACAGTTAGTGCTATTGCTACCTCAGTAAGTCACCCAACTAAGGTTGATCATCAACCGGCATTTGCGAAATTGGTAGATGTTGAACCTGTTCCTACTACCACCTATCTTCTTTACACAACCAATCTTCCAAGTTATACTTATGTTTCTGAAGAAGAAGTTCTTTTCACAAGTAAAGTTGATGCGCTGGTGAGTGATTACGTTGCGCCAACTACTACCTTAACAAACCCAATCGATACCTCAACCATTACCCAAGGGGTTAAGTTGGTTGGTTTGGATGGATTGAATATATCTCGAAGCTACTTTGATGATAATTCGAGTGTTTCTCCAAGCTCAAGCAGTCAAAATGAAACAAGTACTAAAACAATTGATAACTTGAGGAAAAGAGCAAGTTCAAATGCAAATGGATTCAGTGGTGATTTATTTCAAGCCATTTCGACTAATGCACTTTCATCCAAATTCAAAGAACAACAATTACCTCTTTCAATCCCCAGTGGAGTATCAAATACAGTTCCTTACCAAACAAATAAATTCTACGTCAATTTATTTCTCGGTGATCAGACTAAAATGATATGGTCTTATCCATTTGGATTGCAGTGGTCAACTTCTAGCTATTACGGGCTTGGGGTTCAACATACTATTACTTCTAATCGAGTTTTCGGTCAAGGTAGTGGTGGAACTGCAAGTTATTTCTATAACCCAACTGGGGTTAAGGAATTGGTTATTTCGGCTACCCAATTAACCTCATCAAGTAATAAGTTAACTGTTTCAAATATGAAGGTAATGTCTGCCAATGTTAAATTATCTACTGATGGACAAGTTAGCTCTAATTATATTGAAATTCCAATTGTTCAAGGTATGGGACTTGTTACTTCCATTTATCATGGATCAATGACACCGTTGATCAATACCGCCGTTGGTTTTACTAAACTTGTTAGTGAGGCTTCATCTAATTTGAATTCAAATGTTATAAAATATAGAGCTACATTATCTAATGGTACTCAATACTTGATCTATGTTATTTTACCATCGGGATATTCCAAAAGCTCATTTCAATTATCAGCAAGTGGATCTAATGCATTAAAGGGATCAACTTCTATTAATGGGCTTATTATTCAAATGGCAGTGGCTCCACTGCTGACTTCGCAAGATGTCTATTATGATCAATCGGTCGGTAAGTATGCAACAGAAGCAAAAGTTAAAGCCCACGGATATGGTGGTACTACTGCAACGTATACATTTTCATATAACACAGTGGGAACATCAAAAAGTGGACAACCATTAGTATTTACCTTACCGCATCAAGTAGCATCATTTACATCTGATACTCAAAAGGCAAACACTGGGATTACTTTAGCGTCAACAACAAAAGGGAATATGGTTGGATTGCTAACATCCGAAGTTAATATGAGTGAAACATTACATCCGGAAATCCAATTTTTACCTTGGTTACAAGAGTTGGGTACCGGGAGTATTAGTTATAATGCTAGTCAGTTACAATTACTTGCATCGGTTGCAAATTCTGAATTATCGGTTAATATCCCTAATGCAGTAACCCTGCAAACATCAATGTATTATGCTGGTAAAACGCTTGATAAATATGCTTATATTTTATTAGTTGTTAATGATATTTTAGGACAAACTTCTTTGGCACAAAGCACTTTGGCTTCAATGAAACAAGCCATTGGAACTTATATTAGTAATACCCAGTCCTATTATCCATTAATGCACGATACTAAATTTGGAGGCGTAACATCAACTGCGTCACAATCTGGGGATTATTCTGCTGATTTCGGTTCAGCATTATATAATGATCATCATTTTCATTATGGATATTTTATCCATGCAGCAGCCGTGATTGGGTATCTTGATAATAAGATTGGGGATGGTACTTGGATTAAAACCAATCAATTCTGGGTCAATTCCTTAATCAGAGATGTGAGTAATCCTTCTCCCGATGATCCTTACTTCCCGGTATTTAGAATGTTTGATTGGTTTGCTGGGCATAGTTGGGCTGGTGGGCTCACCGCCGGTGGAAACCCCGATGGTAGAGATGAAGAAAGCTCTTCAGAAGATTATAATTATTCTTATGCAATTAAACTATGGGGTAGAGTCAGTGGGAATCAGAGAATGGAACAGATAGGAGATCTAATGCTAGCAGTCATGAAAAGATCAATGAATAGTTATTTCCTTTACACTCTGACCAATACCATTGAGCCATCAAACTACATTGCAAATAAAGTTAGTGGTACATTATGGGATAACAAAATTGCCTACACCACGTATTTTGGAAGTAACGTCGAGTACATCCACGGAATCCACATGCTTCCCATCACCCCGGCTTCCTCCCTTATCAGAGGTCTGGCCTACGTTAAAGAAGAATGGAATAGCATATTGGCCAGTATTGTTAATAATTTAACCACCGGCTGGCTAGGGATATTAAGGTTAAATCAAGCGCTATTTGATCCCAAAAGCTCCTACCGTTTCTTCAGCTCCAGCTCTTTCTCCTCGCTGTACTTGGACAACGGCCAAAGCCGTACCTGGAGTCTAGCCTTCAGCGGAGGACTAGTCAATGTTCTTTAGTTAATATATGTTTTTTTGCAACCACCGTATTGTAGTTTTTACCCTCGGTAAACCGGTAAAACCGCTTATGTAAAGGCTTATGTCATCCGGGAGAGTAAGCAGAATTAGACCTGCACACTGCGAAAGTTGGGGTCACATAAAGCGAGCAGCCAATCAGAAGGCGTTAAATTCTGGTTTGTCAAACTGCGCTAACAAAACAAAAAAAAAACTGCGAGAAAAAAAAAAAAAGAGAGAAAAAAAAAAGAGCTCGGATATGCCGAACAAATTTGAGTTGTTTTAGTAGAAATCCGTAGTGCCGGGGTTATAGCTCTAAAAGATATAAGTAAATTTTTTCCCTTTCTACTTCTTTATCTTCTACTAATCTAGAATATCTAAGTTTATAGGACAATGTTCAAATCCATCATTTCCAAGCCAGGGGTTTTCACCTCATTAAGTCATAAGGTCACTGCTAGAAGCTTAGCTACTGCTGCTAGTAGTGAAGGTCAAAGATTGAAGAAATTTCAAATTTATAGATGGAATCCAGATACTCCAGAAGTTCAACCAAAGATGCAAACTTATGAAATTGATTTAAATCAATGTGGACCTATGGTTTTAGATGCTATATTGAAAATTAAAAATGAACAAGATGCCACCTTAACTTTCAGAAGATCATGTCGTGAAGGTATTTGTGGGTCATGTGCTATGAATATTGGAGGTACTAATACTTTAGCATGTTTATGTCGTATAGATACTGATACTTCTAAAGATTTAAAAATTTATCCATTACCTCATATGTTTGTTGTCCGTGATTTAGTTCCAGATTTAACTCATTTTTACAAACAATATAAATCAATTCAACCATATTTACAAAGAGATAATGCTCCAGCTGATGGTCGTGAAAATTTACAAAGTATTGAAGATAGAGCTAAATTAGATGGTTTATATGAATGTATCTTATGTGCTTGTTGTTCTACTTCTTGTCCTTCATACTGGTGGAATCAACAACAATATTTGGGTCCTGCTGTTTTAATGCAAGCTTATAGATGGTTAATCGATTCAAGAGATGAAGCTTCTCATCAAAGAAAAGAAATGTTACAAAATTCAATGTCTTTATACAGATGTCACACCATTATGAACTGTGCTAAAACTTGCCCAAAAGGTTTAAATCCTGGTAAAGCAATTGCTGAAATTAAAAAACAATTGGCTTTTGAATAAGCTAAAAGAAAAATAAGTGAATTGGTGATATCATTTGCATCTCCTCTAGTATTTATTTATTTATTTCCATAATCTAGTTACTCAACTTCAATACTTACTCACCTTTATTTCTCGTACGTTATTCATAATCTATTTATTCAAATACATATATTTATCTATTCAATGTAAATGGGTACCTGTAAATGGGTAATGGGTAAACCTTACCGAGATGCGGTGGTGCACGGGGTTTTGTTTAAAATTCTAACGGTTCTAATTCGATCGTTGCAACCTTACCAGTACAATATTCTTAATCATGAACTCATTACTGGTATCTTTGTATTCTAGGCTCGTTACTCATACCAGGGATTCGCCATGTTCCACACCGCTAGATAAATTGATTCATAGTGCGCTTGACCACGATTTAGCTATTGAAGAATTGAATCATTATTCAAAAATTGATAATAATCTTATTTTGAATGATAAATCAGCACTTAAGACTTTGAATAATGATAAAATCATTGGATCAGATCTAAGCCAAGGATTTCAATACTATAGGCCGAGCTCAAATGAAGAAATATATCAATTAAACGATTTATTTCAAGTATTAAATCAAATACCCGGGAGTGAAGTACCCAGAATAGTTTCAATAAGAAGAAATTTAATGATACTAATGTTAATTCCTTTAACTGAACAAGAATGTGAATTTAACGTTATTTATAAAGATAATGATATCATCATTGATTATAAATGGGATGAAACAACAACAAATGATACTTTAGTTGCATATGGTGGGTTTAAATTTGAAGAATTGATGACAAATAATCAATCAAATGATTCAACTTACTATACAGTAATAAATCAAACGATTAATGATTTGAATATCTTAATTACTGCAGAAATTGATTCTCAATCTAATGGAGATTATATTGAATTGAAAACTCATAATTATAAATCATCACCTAGTAAACTAGCTAAAAAATTATTGGTTAGTTGGTGTCAAACGAGGTTGATCAATTCGAATAAAGTTATAGTTGGATTTAGATCCGCTTCATCTTCGGGTAGATTTAAATTACATTCAATTAAGCATTATAATGATAACGATATACCGAAACTACTTTGTCGGAAAGAATACCGTATTCCTTTCCAAGATTCTTATATAACTTGTCAAGGATTACTCAAATGGTATAAAACGGTTATGAAATGGATTCAAATGCAAATTATCGATAAAAAGAATCAAGGTGATAAGAATGGTGCTTTTAATTTGAAATACTCGAAAACCCACCAATCATTACTTCTTAATACTACATCAACTGATATTGCAGAAAGTTTATTAAGAAATATATGTACATAGAATTAAAGAGATTTGAAAATAGATATATAGATTATTCGGAAATTGCATCTTGAAGTAATAATTTTCTTGAATGAATATCAAATTGATCTCTAACTTCTTCGAACTTCATTTTTTCTGGATCAACTTTTAAAACATGTTTATCTTTATAAGTAACTTCAATTATTGGTACTTCGCTAGCTGGAGAACTTTTAGATAAAACTTTATGATTTATTATACATGCTCCTCTCATCGACGATGGAATACTCGAAAGGAAAAGCCTAGCAGGCTTCGCACTGGCCTTGAAAGGATCGAATTTCACCACAACTTTAGAAAAATATTTGGTTATCATGGCTAGTTTAACTATATGGGTTGATCTATTAAATGGATGATTTTTCATCTTTTAGCTACTTTTTTTTTCATCTCGGGTGACTTGAGTTACTGCGAGTACGAGTAAATTATATACTTACTTTTTGACCCGTACATTTTTTTGTTGTATTGGACAACTGCTGCTGCCTTTCACAGCCAATTCTAAGACTTATCATTCGAAGGCACACCCGTAGTAAGTAGTAATATAAAGAAAATAATTTTTTAAGAAATTTTTAAGAAAAGAAGGAGTTTTTGAATTTTTGCCGAAAAATTACAAATTTCATCATAATTATTACTACCATCACCTCTGAAATCCTGAAAAATTGAAAAAAATTGCAAAAAGTTAAAGAAATTAAATAATATTCTAAGACTTATTGTTGGCTTAAAACTGGACCTACAAGCTTGCTCGTGCTTACAAGAAAGTTGTCAAATTTGAAACATGATGAGAAATGAAAAGTTCACTAGCATACAAATCAATTAATGGACGGAAAAGTTAAATTGCTTACAGAGCCATGGCTCAAATTTTGGATGCAAATTTCCGACTTTTAATTTTTACATCAGATGAAACAGTGTATGAATCAATACGTCATTATTAAAACTTTCTGGAAGCAAGCATATAATAATAAAACAAAGGGCTTTCAACTGTAGGAGAAGTATTGAAATATACCCCCACTCTGGAGAGAATAATCATGTACACAACTGATAGTTACTCCAATGATTATTCGATATCTCTACAATATTTTACGAAGGGACAACCATTTGGTTGGGGTGAAGAGTATAGGTTAAATACTTGTAGTAAAGTTAATAGCACCCCTTAAAATAAGCACTTATTTTATAGCATGAGGTAAAAAATAAAACGAGATAAAGACTTAAGGGTTTGAGGTGAAAATAAGGTCAATACGATGAAAATAAGATGCTAATAAGTGCCAATGAAGGTGCATTATACATAAAGTAAGGGTAAGATTGACATGGCAAAATAATTTAAAGGGTCTCATTAAGCTGATATTTTTTTTTTCTTTTTTCACTAGTCCTCTGGGGATTTACACCTTAATTATAACAATAGTAGTAGGATTAAGAGTGGAACAGCAATATATCGAGCCGAAGGCTGATAATCGTGCGGCAAATCCACCCTGTAGAGGAATAAAAAATATTTAACATAAAATCTTAACCAGTAGTTTGAAGTCAAGAATAACGTCCATATAAGGAATCAAGAAATATTTTTGGTTGTTCTGTCTTGAACGGATTCTAAACGGTAAACTTAAACAGACTTAATTTGAGCCAAAATTGGAATATAGGAATAAACGAAACACTGTTGAACAATTTGGAATAAAACCATCCTAAAAGGAAATGACTCTTTCACTACAAATATTTAACAAAGTTTAGTTGTGATTATTTGGTTTTGGACCCTTTTACTTTATGGGAGATAAAATTTAAACAATAAAAATATTTGAAATTAGTTTATTCTATTTGTTCGTTATGTTGTTTGTTGATTACAATAAACCAGCAATATTTCTAAGAATAAAGTATGGATCCGATCGTTAGCCGATGGTAGAATCAGAAGACTACAAGACTAAGGACTACCGGAATCGAATAAGACTACCTTATTGGGCAAAACCATCCTAATAGTAGATTACTACTCAAAGGGTAGTACATTACCAATGAGTAAGGCCGAGTAAGGCAGTAGAGATAGGAAAGAACATGGCTCACAAAGAATAACAGTTATGAAATATGTTCAAGTTTAGTTTCTTTGTTAAAGAGAGTCGTGTGGGTTGAACAAGGTCCCTTCAAAACAAAGGGTTTTCAAAAACTGGCGTTATACATGTTGATATTTTAAACTATTCAAGGAGATATCAAAAGGAATTGAAATTTGGGCGTAGTGGTGCTACCTGGACTTATACGTTTACTCAAAAATACACGTTTAACTGTTCCACCACTGGATCTGATAATGTAGGTAGAGATAAAACGAGAGCGAGGCGAGTCACAAGACATTTTGTAACTCAGCCTGTCAAACTTATTAATAAGATAGTGATTTAATGGTTGAGCCAATCAATTTACAACGATAAATTTACAACGATAAAGTTACAACGATAAAGTTACAACGACGGTTCACCATTACGAAAACCAAAGAATTCAAAATAATCCATTGAAGTTATAATTAGATGGATAAAGAATGCTTTAACAATCAATGCTCGAGATTCGCGTCGTTTGTAATTCTCAAAGTTTGATTTCGTTAAACTGATTTTCATTTGTTTAGTTTAATTTTCATTTGTTGAAGGAAGATATCCATAACCAATGACAAAGATTAGACCCAGCTTCTAATCAACCCATCAGGTACTACAGGTGCCAAGCTGATAACTACAACGATCAATTAAAGTAATAACTAATGATAACTAATTAGTATAATTAAGTGCGTAATAAAATTACGGATGCAAAAAAAACCGTGAGTGAAAAAGCCGACTTTATGATTCGAGTAATTACAAACAAATTCATGAACCTTGAACCACGGAGAATAAGGTGATGAGGAAACATACTTACCCAAAGATATTTTTGGCTCTTGAAGGTATGGTTGTAAAGAAATAATTAGCGAATCAACAGCATCCTGAAATATAAAACGTGCTAAACTTAAGAGAACATGAGTGATGATGCAATGCTAACAATCAAAAAGGAGCTACAAACATGATTTATAGTAATTATAACCAACTTTAAACGTCAAGGGAGATTACCTGCACTGGTTGTAGTTATTGTACCACTATTTTGAAGTGAAGAAGGCTTTTTACTTCATCAATAATTTTGTGTTTAGAAACGTATGTGCAACCGGTTTTTTTTTTTTTTTGGGAACACGATAGACCATTACTAAAGTCCATAAGACTTAGACATGTATGAAATTACGCATGGAGACCACCACACCCGCATCACCCCAGAAGTACCTTTCACCAAGGGTGTATTTGCCATATTTTCTTCCAATATTTCATGTTTCCGATGATGTATTGCAGCTCCTCAATTGCGCAAATTTGCAGTCTATTTCATTGAGCCTCTTACCTGATTTTATTTCTTCTTTTAACTCCAATTTGCTCCGTGCTTTCGAGTACCACTACCGTCAATCGACAGCTTCGTAGATGAGTCGAGTTTCTTCCAATTGCTATTGTATTGGTTGTTATTTATTTCACCTATTGAGGTTGCATTGTTCTCTCTCTTTTTTTTTTTTTTTTTTTGTTTTTTGACTAGTCGATTGTTCAAGGGTTTAACAATCCGCTACCCAAGAAGGATGTGCAACAAGCAAACGTGAACCTGTCGGATTTTATCTTATTAATTTCATGGATTTATTCCATTATATCTTCTAATTCCTAGTATTTTTTACGCAGTTCATGCAACATAATTACTTCTACTTCTTCATAATATGAGCTCTTTCCACTAACCGGGGTTTCTTTTCTTTATTGTGTGGCTCACTTCAATTTTCGAGTTCAAAGCAAACATGTTGAAGGAACCCTCTATAATCGGTAACAGTAACTTCCCTTATATCTTGTGCTGCATCCTATTGTTGGTTATCCCAGCATGCATCCTTTCCCTTGTTGAATTTTTTTTTTTTTTTTTTTTTCAGTTTTCTTTATTTGAAATTTCCTTTCAATTGTTAAGCTTAATGAATCTAGAAAAATCAAACTTCTGGAAACAATCAAAACCATTACAAAAACGATTTAAATTTTTATTTAGCTGTAATCAGCATTAGCAAGAACCCGTCTACCAATTCAAAATGTTTTATAATCCTTTGATTTCGCCAGTTTAAATTCATCCGATTTCTTTCCTTTTCTTCTTTTTTTTTTTTCATTACAGAGAAAACTTTTTTTTTTTACAGAGATATCTATAAAGGTATAACAGAGAACAACCTTTACCTATTAAAAAAAATTAATAATTAATAATTCTTTTTAATTCTTCCGTTAATATTCATTTATTTTCTTATTCTCCACTGAATCCTTTCTTCTAGTGCTGAATTCAATTCATTCATATCCCCTCGTTTTATTCTCTTAATTACTTCTTAATTTAATAGGATAATAACTTGTCTGGATCTTAAAAATAATCTTTCTTACTTTTTTTGGTCCCAATTTTTTTTTGCAATCTAAAAGTTTTGTCTCAAAAAATCGTTTTTTTTTCCCTTTCAGTCAATTTATTTTAATCGCGAAAGTTTTACTCAATGATTTTCTCCAAATCTACTGCAGTTACTGTGGCCTTAGCCTCTGCCTCCTTTTTAACTAATGTCAATGCTAACAATAGATTCTTGAATGATGACTATGCTGACTTAGCCAAAGACCAACCTTCAAACTCCTACTGTTTAGGCCAAGATATCGTTCAAGTCGGTGAGTCTGTTGATTTAAATGGTGAATCAAATCATCACGTTTTAGAATCCTCTTCTGGTGCTGGCGCCAAAAGATCCTTAGCTAGTGGTGGTATTGCTGCTGGTGTTGGTGCCGATGTCTTAGGTAGCACTGCCGACATTGGAGCTGGTCTTGGTGGTTCTATTTTGAAAAGACATTTAATTGACGGTGCTGCTGCCATCGGAGCTGATGCTGATCTCTTAGGAGCTGTTTCTGCTGGTGCCGGTATTGGTGCTGGTGGCTCTATCTTAAAGAGAGAAGATG